AAGACAAGAAACAAGATATAAAATAAGATATTTGATCAGATATAACATAAAATAAAAGGTAAGATAAGATAAGATATAAGAAACGATAAAAGATACGATATAAGATAAGATATAAGATATGACGTAAGATAAGATATGAGATAAGATATAAGATATCAGATAAGATATAATTTAAGATATAAGATAAGATACAAGATGAGATATACGATGAGATATAAGATAACATATAAGATAAGATATAAGATAAAATATAAGATAAGATTTAAGATAAGATATAAGATAAGATATAAGATAAGATATAAGATAAGATTTAAGATAAGATTTAAGATAAGATATAAGATAAGATTTAAGATAAGATGTAAGATAAGATATAAGATAAGATATAAGATAAGATAAAAGATGAGATTTAAGGTGAGCTATAAGATGAGCTATAAGATGAGATATAAGATGAGATATAAGATGAGATATAAGATAAGATACAAGATAAAATATAAGATAAGATATAAGATAGATATAAGATAAAATATAAGATAAGATATAAGATAAGATATAAGATAAGATTTAAGATAAGGAATAAGATAAGATATACGATATAATATAAGATTTAAGATAAAATATAAGATAAGATATAAGATATAAGATAAGATATAAGATAAGATAAAAGTTGAGATATTAGGTGAGCTATAAGATGAGCTATAAGATGAGATATAAAATGAGATATAAGATGAGATATAAGATAAGATATAAGATAAGATATAAGATAAGATACGCTGGGGTAGCACGCTGGGGGCAGCACGCTGTGGGCAGCACGCAGCACGCTGTGGGCAGCACGCTGTGGGCAGCACGATGGGGTAGCACGCTGGGTGTAGCACGCTGGGGGTAGCACGCTGGCATGTGTAATCCAAATTTTAAAAAAAGTTTTTCAACAGTTTAACAACAGCAATTTCCTTTCAATAGTTCTTCCAGTGATGTGATATGACCAGCTTTTATGCATAGCTGTTGCCGCTTAAGGGCTAGGCCAGTGGTTCTCAACCCTTCTGATCCCTTTAATACAGTGTCCCCAACCAAAAAATTGTTTTTATTGATACTTTATAACTGTAGAGTTTATATGTTTTCAGATGGTCTTAGGCGGCCCCTGTTAAAGGGTCGTGCAACCCCCAAACGGGTCGCGACCCACAGGTTGAGAACCACTGGTCTAAGCCAATGGCCCAAATTGTCTCTATATGGCCCTTGAGAAAAGCAGATTTCTGTCTTGATGTTCTACTTATTTTGAAAGACTATCAAATTCGGACGTTTCCAAATAAGTTGTGTTTAATGCCATTCCTCCACCCCCCACCCCAACCCCCCCCCCAAAAAAAAACCGGCTGCCACACACACACACACACTTCGCCATATGTGTGCACTACACCATTTGTGTGCACTACGCAATTTGTGTGCACTACGCCATTTGTGTGCACTACGCCATTTGTGTGCACTACACCATTTGTGTGCACTACACCATTTGTGTGCACTACACCATTTGTGTGCACTACACCATTTGTGTGCACTACACCATTTGTGTGCACTACACCATTTGTGTGCACTACACATTGTTTAGTTTGATCTGATTCAGCTTTAAAATGGCCAGTGTTTATGATAACATTGATGTACAAAGCTCTAGTGTTGCGTTGTCTTCTAACGCAGCATGTAGTGGGACTAGTGGGACCAAGGTAAACGAAAGTTTTCATGAAGAAATGTAAGGTGTATGAACATGAATCGGAGGTGGGTGTGTGTGTGGGGGGGGGTTGTGGTGTGGGAGGAGAGGGGCAGCAGCTGAGAGAGTTGGGTGTCTTCAGAAACTGGAGACGAGCCAAAAGATGCACTTGAGAAGCAGGCACTAAGGGAACCAACTCACGTTTGTTATCTACCCGTGGCCATCTGCACGCGGCTCGTGTTTCAGAGAATTGTGGGACTTTAAGGTAGACAAATATTGGAGGGTCGCAGTTAGAACGAGAAATTCTTCTTAATATTTTTACATTGAAGGTTTGACCTACTTCTCGGTTTTGGAATATAACAAGCTAGCAACCACTTGAGATGGAAGTGGTTGTTAGACTCTCGGTTGGAACCAGCGGTCCACACAAAATAGGCAAAATTCTAAAATCCATTTGCAGTGACTATGGGTAAACATTTAACGAATGCTTAGAAAATTCTTCCACCAGATTCAATGTAAGTGACATAGAAAATTCTTCCACCAGATTCAAACTAAGTGACATAGAAAATTCTTCCACCAGGTTCAAACTAAGGGACATAGAAAATTCTTCCACCAGATTCAAACTAAGTGACATAGAAAATTCTTCCACAAGATTCAAACTAAGTGACATAGAAAATTCTTCCACCAGATTCAAACTAAGTGACATAGAAAATTCTTCCACAAGATTCAAACTAAGGGACATAGAAAATTGTTCCACCAGATTCAAACTAAGTGACATAGAAAATTCTTCCACAAGATTCAAACTAAGGGACATAGAAAATTCTTCCACCAGATTCAAACTAAGTGACATAGAAAATTCTTCCACCAAATTCAAACCAAATGACATAGAAAACTCTTCCACCAGATTCAAACTAAGTGACATAGAAAATTCTTCCACCAGATTCAAACTAAGTGACATAGAAAATTCTTCCACCAGATTCAAACTAAGTGACAGAAAATTCTTCCACTAGATTCAAACTAAGTGACATAGAAAATTCTTCCACCAGATTCAAACTAAGTGACATAGAAAATTCTTCCACAAGATTCAAACTAAGTGACATAGAAAATTCTTCCACCAGATTCAAACTAAGTGACATAGAAAATTTTTCCACAAGATTCAAACTAAGGGACATAGAAAATTGTTCCACCAGATTCAAACTAAGTGACATAGAAAATTCTTCCACAAGATTCAAACTAAGGGACATTGAAATTTCTTCCACCAGATTCAAACTAAGTGACATAGAAAATTATTCCACCAAATTCAAACCAAAAATTCATAGAAAACTCTTCCACCAGATTCAAACTAAGTGACATAGAAAATTCTTCCACCAGATTCAAACTAAGTGACATAGAAAATTCTTCCACCAGATTCAAACTAAGAGACATAGAAAATTCTTCCACCAGATTCAAACTAAGTGACATAGAAAATTCTTCCACCAGATTCAAACTAAGGGACATAGAAAATTCTTCCACCAGATTCAAACTAAGGGACATAGAAAATTCTTCCACCAGATTAAACTAAGGGACATAGAAAATCCTTCCACCAGATTCAAACTAAGGGACATAGAAAATTCTTCCACCAGATTCAAACTAAGGGACATAGAAAATTCTTCCACAAGATTCAAACTAAGGGACATAGAAAATTCTTCCACAAGATTCAAACTAAGTGACATAGTAAATTGTGCAGTTTTTCAAGACTTGAAACTATTTGAAATAGAAATGTTTAAAAACAGCTTCTGTTTGAAATCGCAGTCTTATGACGCAGCTACACACCTAATTAAACTTGCACACACCCACACACCTAATTAAACTTGCACACAGCCACACACCTAATTAAACTTGCACACAGCCACACACATAAGGCAACTTGCACGCATCCACACACATAAAGCAAATTGCACTTAATACTTGCGGCCTTGTATCTTGTACTTGAAAATGCTTATTTACAAATTTAAGATAATCAGGTCCTTGGATCTATCGCTTTACTGGTCCTAAATATGGAGTACAAGACTAGGCAGCGAAACCAAATGACCAACGAAAAGAACTGGATAAAAAGACAACACAGACTGGCCAGAAAGAGACAGAGAGATTTAAGAATCCAATGCTGCAAGGATCAGTTCCAAAATGAGTGGGTTGTATTGAACCTGCCTTATGTAGCACATCGATGGCCACCATGACGTCAGCGTTCCTAGGTGACACGTGGGTCAGGTCTGCTCCACTGGGCGTGTGAGTGACCCAATCGGCCCAGCACACACGTGTGCTTCTTTTTAAACAAATAAAGTTCAGTGAGGTGTGAAGTGTGACCATCAGTGGGCTGTGACGTGTGACCATCAGTGGGCTGTGAAGTGTGACCATCAGTGGACTGTGACGTGTGACCAACAGTGGGCTGTGAAGTGTGACCATCAGTGGGGTGTGACGTGTGACCATCAGTGGGCTGTGACGTGTGACCATCAGTGGGCTGTGACGTGTGACCATCAGTGGGCTGTGACGTGTGACCCTCAGTGGGGTGTGACGTGTGACCATCAGTGGGCTGTGACGTGTGACCATCAGTGGGCTGTGAAGTGTGACCATCAGTGGGCTGTGACGTGTGACCATCAGTGGGCTGTGACGTGTGACCATCAGTGGGCTGTGAAGTGTGACCATCAGTGGGCTGTGAAGTGTGACCATCAGTGGGCTGTGACGTGTGACCATCAGTGGGCTGTGAAGTGTGACCATCAGTGGGGTGTGAAGTGTAATCATCAGTGGGGTGTGAAGTGTGACCATCAGTGGGGTGTGAAGTGTGACCATCAGTGGGGTGTGAAGTGTGACCATCAGTGGGGTGTGAAGTGTGACCATCAGTGGGGTGTGAAGTGTGACCATCAGTGGGCTGTGAAGTTTGACCATCAGTGGGGTGTGAAGTGTGAACATCAGTTTTAAGTGAACAGTCGAGGACTTTAGTGGTGACGCTAATCCATGCTAACTTTTCTGTCCTCATCTTGTTTCAGGACTATGTAGAGACCACGATGAACGAACTGCTTGGCTGGTACGGCCTACCCAAGATGGACAAATCTGACACACCAAGTGTTTCTTTGGAAACCTATCCATCCGCTATAAAGGATCACACATCCCGTCTACCGGACCACACATCCCGTCTACCGGACCACACATCCCGTCTACCGGACCACACATCCCGTCTACCGGACCACACATCCCGTCTACCGGACATCACATCCCGTCTACTGGATAACACATCCTGTTCTGACAACGGTTTGCCATTGCCTCCCCGTTCACAGTCGGGCGTTCCAGGGACCGAAGCGTCCTCAAAGTCAAAACTGTCCAAGGACGAGGAAAGTAACCGGACGGTTGACAAAAAACAGTCCGAGGTCTTTGCCGCAGCAGGCAAGCTTCCCAACGACACCAACAACAACAGCAGCAGCTGTGGGGCTGACGACGAGGATGAAGACGAGATGGACGATTACGACAACGACGGCCTGGGGGATGATACCTGTGACGACATGGATGACCTCAGAGACTCGGCCAGTGTCGGAAGTGACGTCAGCGGTTTGGTATCGCCTGCCTTGATTGGCGGAGGTAAGTAAGCTGTCTTGTCATCATGTTGGAATTAGTCAAATACAACACATTGTTAGACGGTATGGTTATAACGGTGAAATCTGTGTTATAGTTGGCTCCCCGACGAAACAATACGTCATTAAAGAATGATCTAACAGTATGCAAAGAAAAAACCCTACCAATGCTAGTGATACTAAAACGTAATTGTATGAGATATATTTATATATATATTTATATGTATTTAAATATATATATATATATATTGTATATATATATATATATATATATGCATTTCGATACAAATACAAATATTTGACGACAGAGTGCAAAAAATGTAACAGCTTACATCAAGTGGACAAAAGGTGTATTCCTAAAAATAGACATATTAATTTAAATAGACACAATGATATAAACGTACTCAAGGTATATAAATTATTGGCAAGTCTATCTGCTAATAAACCTGTCGGGCTTTATATATGAATTAAATCCGAACGTTCTAGCAGAGAAAAATCTAGACATTGCGCCACCTATGGGCATTCTTGAGAACAAATGGAACGCATTCGAATGGAAACCAACTTTTCCACAGCTAGGACAGGGGCGGACAAGGAGAAGGTGAAAACACATTCGCTCGGTGACGTCAATTTCAGGGTTAAACCAAAAAACCTGAAAACGATATGGCTAAAAATAACTCAATGTTGAAGTTTGAAATAATAATAAGGATACAGTTTTGGATCAATCAAGCTTTTCACTGACTGGCAACCTAAAGATTTTGAGTAAAGCCTTTGTTAAGATCAGGCGCCATTTTGAAATGTGTTATCGTCTGGTCTCTAGTTTACAAATGGAGTGGGAGTTGCGGGGTCTTTACACTCTTGTATGGTTGTGGACGTGACGGTACTTTTGCAATAGTTTAGTTATTTACGTATGGGATTCTACCTAGCATCCAGTTCTCTACCTAGCGTCCAGTTCTCTACCTAGCGTCCAGTTCTCTACCTAGCGTCCAGTTCTCTACCTAGCGTCCAGTTCTCTACCTAGCGTCCAGTTCTCTACCTAGCGTCCAGTTCTCTACCTAGGGTCCAGTTCTCTACCTAGCGTCCAGTCCTCTACCTAGCGTCCAGTCCTCTACCTAGCGTCCAGTTCTCTACCTAGCGTCCAGTCCTCTACCTAGCGTCCAGTCCTCTACCTAGCGTCCAGTTCTCTACCTAGCGTCCAGTTCTCTACCTAGCGTCCAGTTCTCTACCTAGCGTCCAGTTCTCTACCTAGCGTCCAGTTCTCTACCTAGCGTCCAGTTCTCTACCTAGTGTCCAGTTCTCTACCTAGCGCCCAGTTCTCTACCTAGCGCCCAGTTATCTACCTAGCGTCCAGTTCTCTACCTAGCGCCCAGTTCTCTACCTAGCGCCCAGTTTTCTACCTAGGGTCCGCCTAGCGTCCAGTTCTCTACCTAGCGCCCAGTTCTCTACCTAGCGCCCATTTCTCTACCAAGGGTCCAGTTCTCTACCTAGCGTCCAGTTCTCTACCTAGCGTCCAGTTCTCTACCTAGCGTCCAGTTCTCTACCTAGCGTCCAGTTCTCTACCTAGCGCCCAGTTCTCTACCTAGGGTCCAGTTCTCTACCTAGCGTCCAGTTCTCTACCTAGCGTCCAGTTCTCTACCTAGCGTCAAGTTCTGTGAGTGCCACAAATAAATTTTATTACAATTTTTAAAAAAATGTGATTATTATTTTTTTTTAACACGATGGCAAAACAAGGAAATTTACCACTGACCTACACTGTACCATTTGAAATGGTCCGGTCAGGAGATGATCCGGTCAGGAGATGGTCCGGTCAGGAGATGGTCCGGTCAGGAGATGTTCTGGTCAGGAGATGGTCGGATCACGAGATAGCAAGAAAGACGCATCATTTCAACTTGCCCTACTTGAGATTGCAAGAAAACCTCACCATTTCAAATTGTCCAGACATGAAATAACACACTCACTAACACATCACCATATCAGCTCGACCAGAGCTGAGATAGCAGACCCAATAACACCTCAACATTTCAACTTGTCCAGACAAGTGGTTGCGGGCCCCAAAAAAAGATGCCAGAAGCGAAAGAGGCACCTCCCATGTCGCCATCTAGACTGGCTCTTATTACGCCAGACACTGTTTGATTCATGTGACCCGTCCAAGACCAGACTCCATACGTGGATAAAAAAATAAGATTCAATGTCGATACTTTTCACACTGAAACCGTATACGATACAAAGCTGTAATCGTAATTATAATGAGTAAATTGATACGGTGTTAGATTTAGAGGTATCGATATTCGGGACATCCGGAAGAAATCGTTAGCCTCCCTAAAAATATGTCGATTACTTGATGGGTTGGGATCTCGGGTATTTCAACACAGCGAGAAACACGATAGCGTCAATGTGCGCGCGCATTCTATCCATGCCTAGAGGTGACTTCCGGGCAGGTGTCACGTGATGGATAGTTGTTCCGGAAATCCGTTTTCTGAACGCGGAGATTGGAATGTTGGGTAACGTCTTCTGTTACGAGTTGTGGCAAGATGCTGGAATTCGGACTTTAGGAGAGGGGGGGGGGGGGCTGGGGGGGGCGGGTGTGCTGCGACCACTGGGTCCTACAAGATACACTTCTTCAGCATTCGTGATAACTAGAGTAAACTTGTCAAGGATTATTTTCTGAAATTTTATACTAAATTGTTTGTGTAATAAACTAATAAATACATACTTGTAATGAGTGCTTGAAATACTTGATATGATTACTTGAGACACTTGATATGAGTACTTTAGACACTTATATGAGTACTATAGATACGTGATGATTACTTTAGATATTTGATATCAGTACTTTAGATACTTGTAATAAGTACTTTAGATACTTGTAATGATTACTTCAGAAACGTGTGATGAGTACTTTAGATATTTTTCATAATTACTTTAGGTACTTGTATGAGTACATTGGATACATGTAACAAGTAATTTAAAAATGTGTAAAAAGTACTTTCAATAGAGGCATAGTATGTGAAAGATAACTTGTCTTTGATGTAATCGTAACTTTCTTACGAATCTCGTCAATAGATGTTCATACAAACACATAGACTAGTACAAATGTTCATAAAAACACATAGACTGGTACAAATGTTCATACAAACACATAGACTAGTACAAATTTTCATACAAACACATAGACTAGCATAAATGTTCATACAAACACATAGACTAGTACAAATGTTCATACAAACACATAGACTAGTACAAATGTTCATAACAACAAATAGACTAGTACAACTGTTCATAAAAACACATAGACTAGTGCAAATGTTCATATAAACACATAGACTAGTACAAATGTTCATACAAACACATAGACTAGTACAAATGTTCAAACAAACACATAGACTAGTACAAATGTTCATACAAACACATAGACTAGTACAAATGTTCATAAAAACACATAGACTAGTACAAATGTTCATACAAACACATAGACTAGTACAAATGTTCATACAAACACATAGACTTGTACAAATGTTCATACAAACAGATAGACTAGTACAAATGTTCATACAAACACATAGACTAGTACAAATGTTCATACAAACACATAGACTAGTACAAATGTTCATACAAACACATAGACTTGTACAAATGTTCATACAAACACATAGACTTGTACAAATGTTCATACAAACACATAGACTAGTACAAATGTTCATACAAACACATAGACTAGTACACATATTCATACAGACACATGGATTTAAAAAAATGTTCATACAAAGAAATAGACTAGAAACTCTGCTTATCCAATCACAGATTAGAACAAATGTTTTTAAAAAACACTTATCCAATGTACTGCATTACCACTTTACATTACCTACCAATGTGCAGCATTACCACTTTACATTACCTACCAATGTGCAGCATTACCACTTTACATTACCTACCAATGTGCAGCATTACCACTTTACATTACCTACCAATGTGCAGCATTACCACTTTACATTACCTACCAATGTGCAGCATTACCACTTTACATTACCTACCAATGTGCAGCATTACCACTTTACATTACCTACCAATGTGCAGCATTACCACTTTACATTACCTACCAATGTGCAGCATTACCACTTTACATTACCTACCAATGTGCAGCATTACCACTTTACATTACCTACCAATGTGCAGCATTACCACTTTACATTACCTACCAATGTGCAGCATTACCACTTTACATTACCTACCAATGTGCAGCATTACCACTTTACATTACCTACCAATGTACTGCATTACCACTTTGCATTACCAATCATGTCCAGCATTACTACCTTACATTAACAACCAATGTCCAGCATTACCAATCATGTCCAGCATTACCACCTTACATTAACAACCAATGTACAACATTGTCACGTTACATTACCAACTGGTGTCCAGTTCCATGAAATATGAATATGCTACGTCAGATGATTCCACATATCTACTTGTTAATTTCTGTCCATAAATTCGCTTTCTCTCTTAAATAATTTAACGTTTCTGGGTCGGGAACTATTGTTATATCCTTTTTCAGGTCAATTGCTCCAACTCCTGTATGTGACGTCACAGATGGACTATTATTCATAATGATTAATAAAAACTGAAATAGTATACCTCAAGCATGCTTTAAATTCAATTTTTGAATTTCCAGTTAAAAAAATGTCCTTCAAGATTGTATGGAAATCTACTTTGTGGACACGCCCACTGGATGACTGCATTGTTAAGTGTATTATCACAAAGCGTTTCGACTGGGGTTCATGTCCCACCTAAACAAGGTTCAGGCCCCATCTAAACAGGGTTTATGTCCCACCTTAACGGGACTCAGATGCCACATAAACGGGGTCCATGCCCCACCTAAACAGGGTTCATGCCCCATGTAAATGGGGTCCATGTCCCACCTTAACAGGGTTCATGCCCCACCTAAATGGGGTCCATGCCCCACCTTAACAGGGTTCATGCCCCACCTAAATGGGGTCCATGCCCCACCTTAACGAGAC